AAAAAATGGAGTCTACAGTGTTCAGGAGTTCACCAAATCATATATTTTAGACCCCCCCCCCTCCCAACATTACTTTTGACTGAAAAGTTATCATCAGTGCCTTTTAGAGGCAGAGCAGGCAATTACACTTTAGCACCATTGACCACATTGTTTAGGTCTGCTGGTTTCATCCAGTATTTCTCAGATGAGCCCCAAAACATGTACTACCAAGCAACATCCTGTCAAGGGAGAGGAAGAAAATGTGGATTCACAATTCACAAACAAGCCAGAAATTGAGAAACTCAAAACATTTCTTTTTTACTTTCCTAATCCAATCTCGTTTAGCCCTTAAGTGTATCAGTGGGCTTTGAAAGTACTTAATGAGGGTTAAATCTTGTCTTAGTATGTTTCACAGTTGTCTCACACTATGTGCCAAATGTATGACTTCCCACTATACTGAGACAATTATAATAATATTACTACTGACGAACTCCTAGACAGATTAACCCAAAAATACTTTTCTGCAGTGTTTAATTAAATGTGATTTTCCCCTCAGTGGAATAATGAGATAAGGAGAGATGGTTCTCAGGACTGAAAGAACTATGCAAGTACAAGTTCTCATCTGATAAACTGATCCATTTGGCTCCAAGGAATAAATTAAGGGATTAAGTGGCCAATGACAACAAATTCACTGACAACACTTTTATTCCATCTTCTTTTTCTTTTTGCTAATATGGCCTGCTTATGGAAAATAAAAAAGAAACAATATTTTATTTATTGTTTCTTTTTTATCGATTTATTTTTTATTGTTTTATGTGGTTTTAATTGCTTTTATTGTATTTTTATTGTATTTTTAAAGATTATTTTTGGAAGCCACTTTGAATCCCACACTTGGAGAAAAGTAGCATACAAATGCTTGTCTTTAAAAAAACCCACTATTCTCTATATGGGGTAGCACCTTGCCTTGCAGTTATGGATTCATACCTGTTCCATATTCCTGGAGATATGGATCCATAAGTGCTCCATATTTAGCCAGGTTCCATATCCACTATCTTAGCATTAGTGTCATGATTACAAATGTTCCTGGAAACCCACCTTAAACTCATGGAAACTTCTATGAACAATGAAGATCTTCAATGCAGGTGAGTGCGTTCTTTCAGGAAGATGTGGACAGCGTCATCCTGAAGTGCCCCCCTCACTAACACTGCAGGTCCCTGTTGTTTGGAATTAATTGGAGTTTAAAATGGGGTTTCAAAGGTAAAATCTTTAGATTACCTGTAGCTATGTTTATGTAGTTATGAATACAATGCAGGATCTTGTTCCCAGTTGTTTAGGAACCATGATCCATACAATGTGTTGTCGAATGCTTTCATGGCCTGAATCACTAGGTTGCTGCAAGTTTTCCAGGCTGTATGGCCATGTTCCAGAAGTGTTTTCTCCTGATGTTTTGCCAACATCTACAGCAGGCATCCTTAGAGGGTGTGAGGTCTGTTGGAAACTAGGCAGGAGAGGTTTATATATCTGTGAAATATACAGAGTGGGAGAAAGAATTTTTGGCCTTTGAACCTTGAAGGCTGTTCAATGCTAATCAAGGTGGCCAATTGCAACATTCACTCTTGCCTCAAGCAGATGAGAGTTCTTTCTCCCACCCTGGACATTCCACAAATATATAAACTCCACTTTCCTAGTCTCCAACAGTCCTCACAACCTTTGAGGATGCCTGCCATACATGTGGGTAAAATGTCAGGAGAGAATGCTTCTGGAACATGGCCATACAGCCTAGAAGACTTGCAGCAACCCAATGATCCATAGTTTAGAATTGCATTTTCTGGGTCATGCCATTTGCACTGGCAACTAGCAGAAACTAAGGATGCACCATCTCAGATGATACATCTCTTTGTGTGCATGAGCATTAGCACAAATGTGTAAGGGGCTGGTTATATTAAAGGTCCTCCCTCATGCTTGTTTTAAAACACGATTTCATTTAACAGTTCCCTAGAGGGAGATTTCTGTCCACTATCTGTGAACAGACTTCTGTGGGTAGTCAAATACAGTAAATGTGTTTATTCCCTGAGAGGTATTAATGGTAGAGTTTCTTATAAAGCAGCCCATTTTGCCTTTGCGGAAAGAAGATTCATTAGTTTTGCCAAACTAATTTATAACCTGGGCTGGTGCTAAATGTCATGGTTAGGTTGACTTTTTAAAATTACTTCATGTATTCTTAATATATACTAACCTTTCTAAAATGTTTAATATTTTCTGCATGAGTGGTTTTTTAAGAGTCAAAGACTCTTGGCCTGTTACGCACTTGTGCTTTTCTATTTGAATTCTTTTGCAATGCCTATGTTCACTGAATTCAGGGAAGCTTCATCCATGATAAATGTGTGCAGGACTGCAGTCCAACACAGGTTTTCCATAGTCAAATCCCATTTTATATTTTGGATGTATTTTTTGTGCAGACACACATAGGAATGTGCTCCCAGCCCCACGATTTCAACCATTGGGGTTTTACTAAGGCTGTCAAATCCTGTTTGTGGCTGAACTGTTCATGCTTTGGCGCTGGACAATGCACGGATGTTTAAATTGCTTGAAATGTCTAATTGAATTACCCTCAAATTGCAAATCAAAAATGGGAAGGGCTGTCTCCGGCTCACAGGCTTGGTTGCTCGGATGTGTCTCTGCTACGGTTATGCTTTCTCCCCTCTTCTCACCCCTTTGCCTCCCTACAAAGATTGTGCTAAAAAGAAATCTCAGAGGATGAAATCATTTCTTATGTAGGAGAGTGGGAGGGAGGAAGTCATGCCGATTTCTGACCATTTCCAAATTAGTTCAGAGTAATAATTTCATAACCTGGAAGAGGGCAGAACAAGAAGGAGGTGGACTGTGCACTAAACTTGAGCCAGGATCCATTTTTTAGCTGTTTCCTTTGGTCAATCCGGCCCCTTTGGTTTGTTTGGGTGCCAGCAATGGCAAGGGGCCAGCCGTCATGGATTCCCATCTGAAATTGGACCACGTGGCAGCCGATCTCGACTCCTCCTCCCCTGTTCAGCACTACAGTTCAATCTTTTTGATTTTCCTTGATTTTATTGATTCTTTTTATTTAGTGGGACTGACTGAGAGTTGGGAATGTGCGGGAACAGGTGAGTGGGGGGCTTGGGAGAGTCACCCTTTTAGCTCCCCCTTTCTCTTCCTCTCCCTCAAATACTTCTAAAAGATAATAATAATAATTAATCCCAGCAAACAAAAACAAAACCATAGTTAGCTGAAAACTACGACCATCTAGTTACCTCTCCTCTAGAGTAGAAAGTAGAAACAGCTTTATGGAAGCATTAAACCTGGAGATTGAAGTATTCCCACTCCAGACAGGGCATGCAGTAGAGCAGTGGCTCTCAACCTGTGGGTCCCCAAATGTTTTGGCCTACAACTCCCAGCAATCGCAGCCAGTTTACCAGCTGTTAGGATTTCTGGGAGTTGAAGGCCAAAACATCTGGGGACTCACAGGTTGAGAACCACTGCAGTAAAGCAAAAAGAGGGGTTTTTAAAGGAAGTCCAGGGAGATAGTTCAGGACAATCACACTTTCTTCCCTGGGAAATGGGAAGACAGCTTAAATGCCTTGGAGAGAGAGTGTGCACGCCTGTCTCCTCTAGAGTTGAAAGAAACAGCTTTAATGAAGCATTAAACATGGTCTTCTCTTCAGACAGAAGGGAAAGGACAGCAGAAAGATTGTTATCTTAACTCTGATTCTTTTCATCCAGGTCTTAATGAAGGATGTGGAAGGGGAGCCTATGAACCCCCCCCCCAATAATGGACCAGATAGGGTGCTTTCTCAACCCTGTTGCTGACACCCAGACTTCCTTGAAGAAAAAATAAAGGAAAGGCTCCCAGGAACGGAAAGGGGAACCTCACAAGTTTCCCACTGCTACCAGTGGGCCATATCTAGCCGCATTTTTCGGCTACAGACAGAAAACAGCTATCCAGCTACCCACCTGTTTTCAGGAGTCATGTGAAAATGGGAACAGAGGTCTGCCAGTATCTGGCCAGCAGAAACAGATCAAGGTTTAGCCAAAATGAACTACTGTGCACCCCACCAAGTGATATCTAATGCAATCTTCAGATAGGGCTTGTAAAGACCCTTGTCTTTACATCTGACCTGCTCCTGCCAGTTCATGCAGGAGCAGGTCAGATGTATATAGCTGGACTCAAATTACCATTGACTGGTATTCACTATTGCAGCTATGGATATGTAACACTGAGTTACAGTATCTGTAACTGATTCATATTCACGAACATCCAGTAGTCACCAGTGTGGCACTATTGCTATGATTGGGAAAGCCCTCCAAAAACTATTTCCTTTACTAGGCAGCAGCCATTAAGGGATGGTGGTTCATTCCACTGACAATCTGAGAGCAGAAAGATGATGTTTCTGATCTCCTCCTGCCAATGAAGAAGTTTGTGGCTGCTGCCTGGTAAGATAAGTTCTGGGGGATTTAGGCTAGGAGACACTGCTTATGATGGAACTACATAAGCAATGTAGTTCCAGCCATCATTTTTTGTCATTGTTCATGCTGGCTGGAGATGATGGGATCATAGAATCATAGTTGAGAGACCAATAGGGCCATCCAGCCTAACTCCTCAAAGTGTATGGTGATTCCAACAACATCCAATTCTTAATTTTTGATATGTTGCTGTTGTGTGTCTTCAAGCCATTTCTGACTTATGATAACCTTATCACAGTTTTCAGAGGCCTTTAGTGCCTCATCCAAGGTCAACTAGTGGATTTACATGGCTGAGTGGGGAATCAAACAATGGCCTCCAGAGGTACAGCCCAATACTCAGATGGCTATGCCACACTGGCTCCCTGGGCCTCTAGATCCAGGTAATGTGATGCCCACTTGTTTCAGAACAGTGTGCTTTGGATGGAATTGTTAATTCGCTATACATTGCTTGGAATCAGGGGTGCCAATTAATGAAGCTTGCTAGCAGCCAATGAGATTTTAGTTATGCAAACAACAAAACAGGAAACATTTTATAAGCACATTTTTATTTAAAATAAAAATTAGTTATGGTGTCTTTTTAAGGTAATATACAATCTGTATATATAACACAGTTTTTGTTTGTTTTTGGTACAGAACATAGGTATTGAGCAATATCCTTAAATGCTAAATATACATTAATGGCTTGTCTTAGAAACATGACAACATTAATTTTGAAATGGGTTTTGGACATGACCCAATGAGCTCCAAGCGCGCAGTGAGGTTTCTGAGCCTTCCTCTCTGAAAGCAGCCATCTTGGTGCATGCATGAGGCTCTTGTGTGTTACCTAAAGGAACTCTTTGGATCGTGGCCATTAGCTTTTGTTGTTGAACCACTGGTACAGATTGTCTAGGAACAATGGCTGTTTTAATCTGTACATGTGGTGCACAGTCAAGAAGGCAGATCTTAAAGAGTATTTACATTCATGCATTATTTTTTTAATACACTATCTTTGCAGTTTAAAAATCATATATTTTTTGTTTGCAGAGATGCAGGGGAGGGTTGTAAAGAATATATAAAAATATATTTATAACAGTCATGAGTCTCCATTGCCTTGGACTATGAGTTATTGTATATACCTGTGCAAAGCAAAATACAAAATAGGATGGGTTTCCACCCATTTTTCATGGTACAAACCAAGTTGCAAAGTGCGAGGCAATGGAAATTCAGGTCCATACCTATATAATATATGGCTATGATCCTGCCAGATGAAAGACTTTGAAGCTCTATTGCAATGGGAGAATTTAAGCACAAGCTTTGTTCTATTCTCCCATTGAAATCAATGGCATTCAAAAGTATTCCGTTCTGGTGGGATCATGCTCTCTATGTATTTATCTATACCATAAATCTCTTTTATTGGTAACGAAGTTGCAAACCGAGAAAATCTCTTAGCTCTTTGGGTCAAATTTGTGGTGCACACAATCAGCTACCATCTGGAAAGCTTGCTCACGACATGCCCCCAGGTATGCAGAGCTTTTCAGTATCTAATTTTAGAGTATAAAAATAAACTTTAAATCCCTGTGAATTGCTAACTTGAATTACCAATTTTCAGTGTAATGGGTCCCCATTGTGAAGAAGCTTTTATCTGTCAAGACTTGTATATATCATTGGTATTTAATTAACTGTATTAAAGAGCACACATGCTCCTTTTATGTAAGCTTTGCTGCTAATCGGTACAGTTTCAAACAAAATCCTAGCTATATTCTGAAGCTCTAGGAATATATTCTTCCTGAAGGCATCACTTCAATCTCTCCCTATTTCTGAGGGCTGACAGCCAAACTACACGTACAGAAAAAACCAAGTGGCATCGTTCCATGGTTTTGTTAAGTGGTTAATGCAATGCTGTACCTTCACCTATCCCCTGAATGGTACAATCCCAGGACTATATCACATTCTTCTGAATTCTTAGATCTACACTGGTTTCTCCTTTTTGTATATTGTTCCCTTAGGTATTTCATAAGCTTTCTGGTACGAGTGAACTGTGGTTCTCCTGGTGTTGTTGTGCTACAATTCCCATAATCCTTTATCATTGGCTTTGCTGGGTAGGGCTGCTGGTGGGTGTATGCATAATATATCTGAGGAGTCACATTTTTACATCAAGGGCAGACATACTTTGCATTACTAGAATCTGTGTTTTGGAGTCGTGGCAAAAAAGTTACCCTCAGTAGGTGTTGAGCACAAAGGTTTCTTTGATCAGAACAAAGTTGCAAATTCACAATTCTTCCCATAGAATGCATTCCTGGTTATTTCAGCTTTCTTTGTTACCTGGGCTTAATGGTGAAGAATCTCATTCTCTCATTCTCTTCACTTTCTTAGACCATATGTAATATTAGTTTGGTTTTAACTTGTTTAAATGTACATGAACTCCAAATCAGAGTTGTGGGTTAAACCCTTGTACCAACAGGACTGCTGACCAAAAGGTCGGCGGTTCGAATCCAGGGAGCAGGGTGAGCCCCCGTCTGTCAGCTCCATCTTTTCATGAGGGGACATGAGAGAAACCTTCAATGGGATGGTAAAACATCTGGGCATCCCCTGAGCAACGTTCTTGCAGATGTCTAATTCTCTCACATCAGAAGCAACTTGCAGTTTCTCAAATCACTCCTGACACACACACACACAAACCCCTCCAGGATTCCCTAGGCTAAGGTACTTTTGGGACTTGAGGACAAGCTTTGATTTGAATATATCAATTTGTCTCAAAATACAGACTTCACTGCATAATTTGTGTTTAAACCTTTGAGAACTGTTTCACATCTGGAGAGCAAAATCTGGCCAACAGCCAAGTTTCAGTCCAAACATCTGTGTGGGTCAGGTCCTTCTGACTAGAAAATTCAAGGAATAAAATCTTTAAGTGTTCTTTGATTTGGCCACCAAGAGAACCAGTTGGCTCACATCCACACTGAGGTCCTCATCCTGCTTAAGTTTTGAAGTGATGGTATCTGTGCATCAGTTTACTTAATTTATTGGGGCAGGAGGGAGGCTGAAAATGAAAATCAGGAACATTTCACACCATATTCTTCCTAGTTCTGGGTAGAGTAGAAACAAGAGTGGTGTTTTAACTATCTAGGATCTCACTGAGGTTTGTTATTTGTGAAGCAAACATAGAACAAAGTATGCAAATTCTAAAAACAATTTAGTACTGCTCATTAGCATGCCTAGCATATGCTTAACAAGTTGGAATAAACATTGTTATAACTGAGACAACAATAAGCACCACAAGAACTTCTTTGTTTTATGGGTGGGAAACCTTTGGCTGTTTAAATGTTTGGACTACAAAAAATCCTATCTCCTCTTGCCATGGGCCATGCTGGTCAATGCTGCTTGGAGTTGAAGTTAAGAACACTAAGAGATTGCTTTTAGAGAAATTAAACAGCTACTATGTAGGAGCTCTTCATCCAAATTTGAAAGGTAAGTGGGCTTAAATCCTGTTTTAACCCCAATGAGGCAATGAATGTATTTGTTTTATCTATGTGGTGACTTCCTAATTAACTCATCTTCCCTCACCACTAGCTATGCTGGCTTGGGATGATGGGCATTAGGTCCTGTTACAGAGCAAGAGGAAAGTCATGCTTACTTGGACGTAAAAGAGGCTGCTTTCCTAGTACCCTACGGGAGAAATGGTGGCTACGTTATGCCTCCCAGATGTGCTGGACTACAATTTTCACTACCCATGTATTGGTTGAGAATGTTGGGAATTGTAATGCAATGCCTCCAGAGGTGCCAAGTTGAAAAGGTTTGTCTTAACAAAATACATGCATTTTAATAGAAGACAACCTTTTGATGTTTGCGCCATGTTGTATTTTGCATCATGTTTCTATGACTATAGCTTCTTTTATAAATGAGAGTCTCAAAGGGAAACAACTACATCAAAATAATATCTCATGTTAGAACTTTCTCTAAAAACAACCCAGAGAAAAACTATGTTGCAGGATTATGGGAAAAGTGCCGTTCTAAATATAAGTGCCAGTGGATTTCATCTGAAGCATATAGGTTGACACAACTCAATGTCAAAAATGGCAATTGGCTTTGATCAGCTCTGTGTTCTGAGAACCCAGATTGTTTTCTTCCAGTCAATATAGTGCAAAATGATGTGTTAAAGTGACTGGAAGCAAATTATTTTCTTCCTTTCTGAGAAGAGGGTCAGTGACATTATTGTCACTCCACTTTCAACAATTCTTGACATTTAAAAGATTACAAAAAGCCTTCCTTGCTATTTTCTTAAAGGAAAGAAAAGTGAATACAACCATGACTTGGTGAATTTCTCCATTAAGAGTAAATAAATACCAACCTTTGTTTTGTATTGTCAAAGGCTTTCATGGCCGGAATCACTGGGTTGTTATAGGTTTTTCAGGCTGTATGGTCATGTTCTAGAAGCATTCTCTCTTGATGTTTTGCCTAAATCTATGGCAGGCATCCTCAGAGGTTGTGAGGTCCTCACAACTTCACATCCTCACAACCTTTGACGATGCCTGCCATAGATGCAGGTGAAACATCAGGAAATAATGTTTCTAGAATATGGCAATACAGCCCGAAAAACCTACAACAACCCAGCCTTTGTTTTTCTACCATATTTTATCTTCTAAGCAAAATACTGAGAAGATCACAAAATGGATGTAGAACTTGGAGAAGTTCTTTTTGTGGACTATTCTGCTGAGCATTTATCCAGTCAGGATGATTTCTAGTTGTGATGGTAGGAACATTGTGGGAGCTATAGTTCAAAGTGTAACTTTTCCAAACTCAGTGGGAAAGACACCTCATGTACATGCATGGCACAGAGACTGGGCATATATGCACTTAGTACTTCCTGCTGCTTTTACTACATTTTTTCTACTGAAAAACAATGATTAACAAAATTCTTTTAACTCCAGATTTCACAGTTGCTCCTTACTTCATTTAAGCACCGAATATCAAATACTTGACCATTCACTTTGTCACTACAGCCAAGTGACTTTACCAAGGGCAATGTTGATCCAATGGAAGCAGGTGGCCTACTACCTGTTTTTGAAAATTCCCCATTTTGCCACCATCACTAAGAAGACGTTGGGTTTTAGATTGTGGTTCAACTCTTTGGAGTCTCAGTATAGATTTTCTAGGCCTCGTGCACCCATAAGGTAAAGTGATTCCGAACATCAGATTCTTAGCAATAATGGTCTGTGTTGACATGATGTGGTGATTCTATGCAATGGCACTGAGACAGCTTCTTTTCGATTGCTTGAAGACACGGAGACAATGTCACTAAAGCTTGACAGCAAGACAAGAAGCAAGTGATAAACAACGGTACAGGAAGGGAAAGGCAGAAATGTTTTTAACATCTTAGTCCAGGTGTGGACAACAACAGTGTCTGAACAATGGTCTTTTAAGAAATTAAAGTGACTGAGCCTAATAAGACTTGCAAGAAAATGGGTTTGGCTTTTCAAGTCATTTGCAGTCCTTATCATAAAATGGTACAACATTGAGCTATCACATAGAATTTGGCACAGTTGGCAGTCCCTTGTCGACGGAGAGGACTGAGCTATCACAGCATTCTCCCTGAAGTGGAGAGTCCTTTTTTCCCTCCAAAAGAAGTTCTTTGGAGGAGCTACTGAAGAAACAGGAAAGTTTTGAGATATCTGAGCTTGCAAGGAGTGTAAGAAGGACTTCCATTTTCACTGCAGCTTGTCTTCCCTCAGCTCCAAACCCAAACATTTCAAAAGCCATACTAGAAAGATGCCACCAGCAGATCCGCGTGGTATAAATACATGTGCAAAATTGTGCAGAACTGTAAATGAGGAACACATATGTGGAACTTTTCAAACCTAAGGCAAAAAAATGCTACATAATAACAAAAAGGGAGAATAAAATTGTATGAATACTATACAATACACCCTTAGCTGTTACTACTGCCAATAATCTTCCCTCTTTGATACACAATGTTAATTGCTACAGGTCGTACAGTGACTACTTTCTGCTTGAAATGTCACCAGCTGTGGAAATTGCAGAGTCACCAGGATGCAGGTGTCTATTTCATAACATCATGCAATAAGGGTCAGGGAAGTTGTCTTGGGGTCAATAGAAACTTTTCCACTTCAGAATGTAATCATAACAAAAGATGGGAATGGCAGTGCCTTGTAAATGAAAAAAAGACAAATGCAAAGCCATGCTAGTAAAGCTTGGTTTTTCCCCCCAGATCCAATTACAATGTTCCAGGACCAATTACAGTGCTTCTGTCAGATCAACTTCACTCTCAAAGGACCCCTATCAAAGCATCCTCCCTCCCCTCCCCCCAATAAACAGCGAGATAAAAATAAAAGGGAAGGAGGGAGGAAAAGAAAAAAAATAGAAGACAAAAAGAAGGAAAGAACAAATGAATTAATGAAAGAAAAGACTGATAGAGAGATCTGGGGATAACATTATGATGCTTTTGACTGTCGGTTGCATGCAGTAAGTGTGCCTTTGTGAGGTTTTTTCTCAGAGCAGCCCTGACTGGCAAGTTTATACCTCCCTTTCTGACGATCAGCAAGCCGAAGAGAAGTTATCCGCTTTTCTTCTCGGAGTAACTGATGCACGCACTATTTCTGAAATGAAGTCCCTCGGCCATTGAACTTCTTTCACTGCTGCATTTCATCCACTTTGCATACGCTGCATGTGCTTTTAATGTTTACTACTCAAGAGGAGGTCTCAGAAATTATACCACCGCATTGTTAGATTCAACTGTTTTGTTGTTTTGGGAGGAGGTCATTGCATATTCAGCTCGACTTGTTCCATTCTCTTCTTTTCTCAGTGGTTTCCTTCGTTCAGGCCCAGTCAGTCATAGGGATGTTTTGAAAAGAGAGAGAGAAAAAAAAAGGAAGGACAAGAGGACAGAAGAGCAGAATCATTAGTACTATATAATATTTCAAAAGCTTTCTGGCCGAACAATTATAAAAAGACATTTCAGGGATATTAAAAAAATATCCTCTTTTGTGCAATTAGATCTTTGTGCAATTCTAATAGATCTGTAAGTGTGTGTTTCTCTGTGTGGTTAAACTTTGCTTAAAGGCTGAACTCTAATGAAAGGGATTGTAAAAGAAAATTGCGTTCACAAAGTCAAGGAGTGGTTTATGTTGTTCAGAGTAACCCATTTCAATTTACTTTAGGAATGAAGAAAAGAAGCTGAATCTTAAAACAGCAGTTAAAGGATAAAGATGCATTAATTAGATCTTCACAAGCTCCACTTCCCTGCTGAATTCCTTTTCTGAAAGCACTTACCTATTTAATAATTGAATACCAAAGGATCCTATGAGTGGATCCCTCTGAGTGGAAGGGTACATTCCAACTAGGAATATGTTGTGTATTAGTTTATCTACCATGGCTTCCCTTGCAGACCTTTGTTTCAGTGTGCATATTGAAGTTGCAGAAATAGTAATAATAATAGTAATAATAATATTATGAAGAAGGATGTGGTATACATCAAACACATAACAGGCAACAACAATAATGCTACGAATAATCCCATTTTTATATGATTAGAACTAACTGAATTTGGAAGGGATGAATTCTGATAAGATACCCTAACAATAATATGCTTTGGTGTTTTGAAGAATTTACCCTAAGTAAATTATAAATGATCAAATCCCATTGTTATATATTCAGGAAAGAATCCATTTTCACAAAACCTTATTATTTCCTGGCAAATGGGGAATTGTGGGTTATTAATGTTAGTTTGACGTTTAGTGAATTGAAACAGTACTGGAGAAGGCTAATTATAAAGCATGCTGAGTCCTAGCTTTCATTGCTCATTAAAATATGAACCAAACATATTTTCTAATTAAAATTAAAAGAATACTGTAGATCCTATTTTACTCTTTGCCATCATACCTCTTTTAAAATATTCAAATGACTGAATATTTGAGAAGTATGCTTTTTTTTTTAAAAAAAAAGCACTTTTTTTTACACAAATTGGATGATTAGCAAAACAGCTAACCATTAGAAAAGTTGCAGCTGTCTTTGAATTACCTAATTCTAAAATACAGAATCAATGGTATGGCTCATTTCTCTTCTTCTATCTTCCTTTAAAAAAATTTTTCTTTGTCCCACCCTGGTCATTTCACAGATATATAAACCCATTTTCCTAGTTCCAACAGACCTCACTACCTCTGAGGATGCTTGCCATAGATGCAGGCGAAACATCAGGAGAAAATGCCTCTAGAACACGGCCATACAGCCCGAAAAAACCTACAACAACCCAGTGATTCTGGCCATGAAAGCCTTCAACAATACATATATATATATATATATTGCATTCTTTCTTTTCATCAGTTTGCTTTACGGCCCACTCCAGTATGTATGTATGTATGAACTTTGATAGGTATTGTTCAATTATTAGTACAGGTGAGTGGTAAGAACACTTTATATTCATCATACTCACTCCATGGCTGTAAAAATGGATAATTCTTTCAAAGCCATTTCATCTGTCCACTATGACATTTTCTACACGGAGTTATTTCTGCTAAAAGGTAAATCACTGACCAAACTCTTTGTACAAATTGCTTTCAGATGAAAAGAGAAAAGAGAATTCAGGTGCTAGATAAATGTAACTTTATGGTGCCCAGCAAAGGCATGAAATAGGACTTCGGCATCCATAACCTCTCCATCACTCATGTATGAATTTTCATGTATCCTAAAATCAAAGAACATAATTTGATTACATTTCCCCTGCTCTTTTCAAAGATTCATTACTGCCAACACAGAATTATTGGAGAGAAAGTCCACCAAAGACACTGAAAGCAGCAGAATGGAAAATATTTGCAACTGTATTCACTGGATGTTTGTTGCTTTCCCTGTTTTGTACTCCATTTTCTCCTTTCACTGAGATTTGACAAGAATATCTGTCAGGGGTGCTTTGAATGCAGTATTCCTGCTTCTTGGCAGGGGGTTGGACTGGATGGCTCATGAGGTCTCTTCCAATTCTGATTCTATGATTCTATGAATATACACTTATACAGAATGATGTTGCCCAACATACAGGAAGTGGCCCATCACAGTGGGAGACTCCAGGGAAATGTGTGCCAACCCTATGGGGTGATATTTATGCATTTCCCTACAAAGGAAATGTGAGAGCCGCCATTTTGGCTCTCCATAAAAACATACCTCATTACATTCAATCTTCCTATTCCTAATAGTATGGTATACACACAAATAAGCAGGGGATCCATTCCAAGATGCTTGTTGCAATATGTCTTTAGAGTAAACTCTGTCTTGTGCAAGAGATTTTGCTTGTTGAGTCCCATTCCCCTCTCCTCTCCCTCAACCTACATGCCACTGAAGGCTGAAAATAACATATAGTCAAAATACTTGATCACCTGGAGGGCAGAGTAGCCAAAGGGAAGACTCACATTTTAGGGTGCAGGCTGCTTATCAGCCCACTCCCCCACTTCCTGAATGCTAAACCCGGCTGAAAGACTGGCTGCGTTGAGCCATATACTTCTCTCCACTGAGAAAGGGGTTTGTCTCCTTCCTCTGCCAAGAATGCAGCCAGACATCTGTCACTTCTCTCTGCTGAGGAAGGAGTTAATCTCCTTTCTCTGTCAAGAGAAACGTAACGAGGCTTCTGTTGCTTCTCTCCATCATGGGCTTCCCTTTGCACTGGCTGCAAGTTAGTGAGAAGTGAAAGTTGTGACGGAGAGATTGCTCTCTGTGGCCATGATGCACCAAGCAACAAAGGTAGGGACCAAAAAGGGTAAGGTCCACGTTTTATTTGTTCTTTTTTTCACCATTTCTCATCAGGTGGTCCAACCTGACCCCAACAGTGTTGGGATGGTGACCGTGTTTAACTTGATATATAGCAACACTTTGGGGTCTAGCTGTCTATCTTCCCCAGAATAAATGCAGAATAAAGTTTGCAGGTTTGCCCTTTGTAAATATGATTATCTGCCAATTTTATCTATATATTCTTTTTAATTCAATTTCCCCCCATTTTTCGGCCTGGTTCTGATCCCAACCCCAGAACCCATTGCATGTGCTCATCTAGGTTCACATGTGTGCTTAATACTATACTGCAGGTTTGGACAGACTTCAGTCTTTCATAAACTACCTGAGGTTTGACCAGAAAACTAACGTTCATGTAATTACAAAGCTTACTTACTTAAATGATGACCTTTCAAATAAAGTAGAGTCCCGCTTATCCAACCTTCGCTCATCCAACATTCAATATTATCTAGCACAGTCTCCCTCCCTCCCAGATCCACAGCTGTTTCAATACATTGCAATGTTTTGGTGTTAAATTCGTAAATACAGTAATTACTACATAACATAGTAATTTCTGTCCCAGCTTTACTGAGCATCCTTTAGCATAGGATAAATTATTACTACATAACGTAGTAATGACTATGTTCTTCGGGGTCGAGAAGGGCGGAATATAAATATAGTAAATAAATAATAATAAATAACATTACTGCGTATTGAACTGCTTTTTCTGTCAATTTGTTGTAAAACATTATGTTTTGGTGCTTAATTTGTAAAAATCATAATGTAATTTGATATTTAATAGGCTTTTCCTTTTCCTTTTCTTATTATCCAACATGTTCACTCATCCAACGTTCTGCTGGCCCATTTATGTTGGATAAGTGAGAGTCTACTGTACCAGAACTGAACCTTCCTACAGAAAAAAAGGTCACCACAACTTTCCCCTACACCAAGCTTACTTTGTTTTATCTTAATGCCTGGACTCTAGATCCATCAGTAAATCACAATTTATCACAAACTCTTGTTTTACTGAAAACGTGGGAATTATGCAGCCCTCCAGATATAGTGGAACTACAGATCCCAGTATTCAATATCTGCTGGAGCACTTTCCATTATGCATCTCATTCTTGACCCACTCAATGGGAAAGCCCCACTTCCTTTGAATAATTTATTCTATGATAAAGGATGCTTAGTAGAGCTGGGACAGGGAATATGTGGCCCTGGAGATCCTTAGGTAACATAGGCACAACTTTAGGCAATATAGACAGTGGCGAGGAATACTGGGAGCTGCAGTCCAATCACATATAGAGAACTGTACAGTTTTCATTCTTTCAGTGATGCAAGGGTGAGCAAAAGATAGACTAAGATTTCCATCTGTTCAAAAATGGTAAATGAGTCCTTTAAAAAATGATGGTGCACTTTGACAATTTTAGCACCTTCTCTGTGTGGGCCATGAAATGAAAAAGGATAAAAACCATTGGTCTATATCAATCCTCCAACTGGTTTCAAGACACGTTTACTTTCAGCTGGCCCTTTAGTGCCCTGGCCTCAAACAACCCTTCACTGTTTACGTGACAGACTGGATTTACAGGAGGCAAGCACACAGTTTTTTTTTTAAATGATAACAAAGCCCTTCAGATCTCTTTATGATCTTTTGAGTTCAGAGTAAGAGACTCAAGGGGTGTGCATTCCAAGTCTTCTGAGAGAGGAAAAGAGAACATTTTAGTGTAATGCACTGTAACAATCTCAGCTAAAATTAATTAAAAGACGTCCACTGCATTTTCTCTGAATTCAGAGGAGTTTGCTGCAGGGCCCAAAGATCCACTTTCCAAGCTGAAGATTATTTCTGAAGAGAAATACAATATATCCCAAAACTACAAAACAGCAATGCTCATTTTGGGCAAACTAAAAATACATTATGCAAGTCCCAAAAGGGTTCCCCCATATTGTGGATGTTGTATTTTGTTGCTTGGCCAACACAGCTACCTCTGTATTTTGTTGCCTGGAAATAAATCTGTGTGATCACAGTTATCCAGAGCTTGCCAATATAGTCTATTCAGGATCT